TGAACTTAAGATATTTTAATTTCATTAATTTAATTATAATTAATTATAAATAATTAGAATTTATTTAATAAATGAATACTTTAATGTAGTAATTTTTTAACCCTGTTCTACTTCATTGAGGAACCAGTTAAGCTGACTACATAGATTTTCCTTGTTTGAGGATTACTTTTTCAATCCCTAAGATTCAAGGCTTGTAGTCACATGCCATGGGTATTGGACTTGCACTGGGATAAAACACTTGTTGAAGAACCAAGGCCTTCTGGGTATGAGGTTTGAAAACCTGATTTGTTTAGGCAGGTTTGGTTTTTTTCAAGAATGTAATAAAATGTTTTAAGTGAGTGCTTTTTATTGAAGGTCACTACTCGAGGAGAGGCCCACTTAGAACTAAATGCCTTTAGGAGGAAGCATGACTGTGCCTTGGTGATATCTGGGGACTCACTTGAGGTAAGAACTTGGTTTCTGTCAAATTACATTTATCTATATGCTTATGTTCAAAAGTAGAATGTTGGTGTCTTCATGCTCTTAAACTTTTTTCCAATATTTGCCCATATTTTAGGTTGTCCTTAGAGATACTTTTGTTTTTCACTGAGTGCTAATTAGAGGATATATGTTCTAGATGGGCAAATGTTATTGGTTCTCTGGTCTCCTGTATGATAACAGAATGGAATTTGTATGCAGTGTGCTTTAGTATTGTCTCTTCTCTTAACCCCAAAGCATGTTGGCTTTCTAAAGGAAAGAGAATGTCAGTTTAAAATAATAAAGCCACAGTCAGGAGAATGTGGCTTTTTTCTCCCGCATGGATGTTGTGCAAGCGAAACTTCATAAAGGAATTCTTTATACTGTGTTTTTATATTAAACTACATGTAGTAGTATTTAATTGTAAGTAAATGCGAGTGTATTTTTTCCTTTAGGTTTGTCTGAAGTATTATGAGCATGAATTTGTAGAGTTGGCTTGTCAGTGTCCTGCTGTAGTGTGCTGCCGGTGTTCTCCCACCCAAAAAGCTCATATTGTGAAACTGTTACAGCACCACACTGGAAAACGCACGTGTGCAATAGGTAACTGTTGGCATGATCTTTATTTGCAGTAGCTAAAATCTGTAATAAACTTAAGCAGTAGATGGCACCATTGAGAAATAGTTGAAACAAAACCAGAGAGGCTTCTTTATCAACAGCCAGGTGTTAAGCAGCTGTAGCAGAAAATGCCATTCTGTGAGAAAGGTGTGGTTATCTTCTTTATTCCACGTGAAAAAGTCTTGATTGCTGAAGTAGTTAATCATAATCTGTAGATTAATTGTAAGAATTTAAAAGTATATAAGAGTTTTCTAAAATACTGTAAGGGCAGGAGAGTAAAACCTCTGAAGAACTGAATATAGCAGTGACATTTTCCAGGTGATGGAGGAAATGATGTCAGCATGATCCAAGCAGCAGACTGTGGAATTGGAATTGAAGGCAAGGTAACGTTAACAGTTTCATTGTCAAATATGTGCCACATAGTAGTACAGTAACATGGGATTAGAAGCTTTATTCTTAAACAGTAGTGAATTGATCATTTCTAGTTAAAGTATGCTGTAAGATGATAAAAATGCTTAGTCTTTGAACTAATATTTGCTTCTATGTCCTCTGCTTTATCTGTTTAAATACAAAAAGCAAGAAAAGCAGAAAACACTACTGTTATTTCTGTGTAGCATTTACCTGAAAGAGGCAGGACAGGTTATTAAACTTACTTGTTACAGCCACTGTATCTTAAGAATATGCACAAAAAATTGTCCTTTGTGTCTCATTGCAGGGTTGATTTCTGAAGCAGGAGCAAGCTTGACTTTTAAAACTAATTATCACTTAGAATTTTGAAATTTGAAACACATCTTTTACACTGGGTTTCATATTTGGAATATTTTTTTTCTGTTCTAGGAGGGAAAACAAGCTTCCCTAGCAGCTGACTTTTCTATTACACAGTTTAAACACATAGGTAGGCTGCTGATGGTACACGGTCGAAACAGTTACAAAAGATCAGCAGCACTTGGTCAATTTGTCATGCACCGAGGCCTTATTATTTCAACTATGCAGGTATTTAAAACTTTTTTTTCTGAATAGTTAAAAACACTATGTCAGTCTTTGAAATGTCACAAAATCTTAATAAACCAGTATTGTTTTTTTTTATTATTGTAATGTTTTTTATATAGCATTATATTAAATATATGTAATTATCTGCTTTTTGTAGGCTGTATTTTCATCAGTCTTCTATTTTGCATCTGTTCCCTTGTACCAAGGTTTCCTAATGGTAGGGTAAGTCAAACCCAACAGTTACAATGTCTGGTAATAAATTCAGCAAACTGATTTGTCAGATAACATCATGTAGTTGATTTCTGCCATGTTTTTCATGCATTTATCATTGGTATGCTAACCAACAGTTACAATGTCTGGTAATAAATACAGCAAACTGACTTGTCAAATAACATCATGTAGTTGATTTCTGCCACGTTTTTCATGCATTTATCATTGGTATGCTACCAAAACCTGGAATGAGTCTACAAAGTCAAACTAGGTTCAGTATGCTCTATATGAAGGCAGGGGGGAAGCCTCATTATCAGTTCTCTGAAGAGGGGGATCTGCATAGCCTTAGAAGAACATACCATTTTCACGTATGGGGTGAAGAGTAGAGGAAATCTCCCAGACCAGTTTCAGCTGTTACACAGATTGCCATACAACCTCAGTGAGAATCACAGATTCCTCTGTTAAAATGGAGCAGAAGCTACGGACTGTGAAATTTCCTCTGAGAGTGCGCTACCCCAGTCTGCCAGATAGATTTCCTTTCAGGTGAATGTATGCAGGATTAGGAGCACCCTGGTCTTGTTGCAGAAGCTGCTTTAGTAACATGGTTCCCCAAATCATACATTTGAAGGGATATGCATATATTTATGTTTTTATCTGCTCTCTGCCCCTTCTGTCCTAAGAGCTTCTTTTTATGCTTCTTGTAAACAATAACAACTTAAATCATAGTCAAATCAAGGTCTGATTACACCAGACTCTGCAGAGGCAAGCAGTAGACCTCTCCAAAATGTTTGTAAATCGTTGTGCTAAGTTCTAGAAAGTTTCATACTAAAGTTTACGTCTGGCATGTGCGTTCTAAAATCCAAAGCCACTTACAGAGCTATTAAGACTTTTGTTCATCCACCTACCTATATCATGATGTCTGGAATCTAGTGCTTGTTTTTTCTTCAGTTTTCATGCCATCATCTGTGAATGAATTTAAATGTCAGGTCTTTGAACTGGTTGTCCAAAGTTGCAAGTGCACGGGGAGAATGCTAACAGGCAATAAGCTTGGGTGATATATATAGAAGAAAGAAATGTTTTTACTGCTTTTGAACGTGTAAAAGCTCTGTAACTTCTCACAACTGTCAGCTCTCAGAAGCACAAGAACAGGTTGCATGTGTAAAACTGTATTAGTAAGCTGCCTCAGTACTGGGTAGAAGAACCAGTTTGATTCCACTTACATAAAAAGAATAATTTAACTCGCTAGATCAATTTAAAATCGTATCATACAAAAGTGTCAATATATGTGCTTTCTTTTCACCTAGGTATGCAACCATATATACTATGTTTCCAGTCTTCTCTCTAGTATTGGATCAGGATGTGAAGCCAGAAATGGCATTGCTGTATCCAGAACTTTATAAGGACCTCACAAAGGTATGAATGGCCTCAGTGCTGAGATATGAACAAATGCTGAAACCTCCGTTGTGCAAAACTGGGAATTCTTACAATCATTTTCTTAAGGTGTTCCATGGAAGACAGATGCATAACTAATGTAATGCAGACTTTTGTGCTATCAAAATAATCCATGGTACCTAATGTTCCACTCAGTTCTATTAATGAATTTGTTAAGTCACCAATGGTTGGACTGAAATAGTTCAAACATGAAGGTATGTTGATTTAAAAGTTGCTTTCAGTCTGGCTCCAGGATCTCTGATCTAGAGTTAGTTATGCTTACTTTTCCACAGCTCCTTTTTCCTTTTTAACTGCTAGATTAATATATAGATTTCCCCGCCCCAACCCCCAGAAATTACTACTGACTCCTCCAAAAGCAGACTTTCTTTAAATAACAGATACTGATAACTAATATATCTTAACTGAATCATCTATAGATACTGCTTTCTGTGTGTTTGCACGTACCTACAAATAATGAAAGTGTATAATTTCTTCACCTGCAAAAGTGAAACAAATCTCAAGATTCTGTTTTCATAAGCTTTTTTGAAAAGTGCTTCTACTCCATCTTAAACTGTCAGCTAGAGAAGTTATAACCCAAGGCAGAAGCAGATAGTCTTTTTAAGATAGTAGGTTCTTTGAATGTGAGTCTGAAAGTTCAAAAGCAGGCTGTAGTTGAAGAGGGTCCAAACTTTTCAGAGCCTTTGTCTTTTCAATTGTACTAAATTAGCTATTAGCTATGTTAGTCTGTGAGATTTTTTTCTCATCTCTTGGAGATGTTGATTCTCTCTTTCTCCTCTTCAGAATCTTCAGTTTCCTTGTCAGATTTCAGCCTGTGATTAATCCAAAAAAACCATGGCCTTACACCAGCTAAAGGCAGTTGTAAGCTTGCCTGTGGAAACCTGTTCGTGGAACTTGGAAGCGTCTTATTTCCGAAGATAGAATTTAACCTGTACTCGGAAACTGCCCAGGATGGGTAGATGAATACAGGCTAAGTTTTTTGTTTAGCCTTAAATGACAGTTTCTGCAGGTTCTGAATCACTGGCTTTCCCAGCTATGTTGCACCTCTGTGAATATTAAATAAGCAGAACCCAAATAATTCTCTTCAAAAGAAAAACAAAAAAAAAGAGAATGTGGAGCAACTGGAGAGTACAGTTCAGTGCATTGTATGGGGCAGATGATGATCAGTGAATGATTATGGATGAGTAGTACAAAAAGTTATTTAGGTGCTACATTTGACTTCACTATTACAAGATAATCTTATTGTGTTTATTACAACAATTTATGATTATGCTGCTTTAGTCATGACACTCTGAAGCCTATGTATTTCTGCACATCATTTATCAAATTATGGACTCCCAAATGCCAATCTCTTACCAATGTTATTCAGCTTGTGTTATTCAAACATGTGTTGACATTGACTGTAATTGTATTTCTAGGAATTGGTTTCTTTTCTGCTATATGCTAGTGATGAAAATGCTTTTTAGATCTTTAAAAGAATAAGATACATTTGCACAAGTCATTGACACGGTGCAAGAAGAAGAGAAAATGAGGAAGGTTCAGAGAGACAGGTGTGGCCGTGTACCCTGGAGGACATGCTGATTCAGTATTAATGTTACTGTGGCTCCTATGGAGTTAGAGCTAGAAAAACTGATGAAAATTTGAAAGTAAGTACAAGCAAGAGAGGACTCCCTGCTTTCATCTGAAAATGATTCACAGCCTGTTGTGCAGCATTCCATAGAGGCTCAGGACTTACTGACCTCTTCTAGTTCCATAAAGGTGAACCAAAACTCAAGCTCATTCACAGATCTCACTAAGTGGGAGCTACGGTTGAAGGTGGAAGCAGTGTCCAGTACTCAGAGGAAAATCAGTAGGCACTCACAGGAGAAAAAAAATCTAATGTTTCTTTGTGCTTCTATGAGAATTTTTTCCCCTATGTTCAGTTGGTCACCAACATTCTAGACTATATATAGTCTTATGAAAGTGTCTTTAGCACCTTGCCATGAACTCGTATCTATCCAAGAATATGTTTTAGCCTCTACTGAAGTAATAGAAAGAGTTAACTCATCAGTTTCTACAGCAGTGAAGCACATTTCTTTGTGAAGTGCTGATTCTTGTCTGTTCTAGATTGATCACTTCTTTTGTGGCAAATTGGCTGCTTTGTTTGCCATTTTGTCCTTTTAAATGTGTATCCTTTCAACTCTGCAGTTCTAACATTTCATCAGTACCCTTACAGAATGTAAGAGTCATATGCATATGTACAGCATTTATTCTTTGATTTATGCATATGTTTCAATCTATAACATTCACATTCACAAGAAGATTTAAAATGTATTTGGTAATAGTTACTTCATGAAAACTTATAGTAGTCATATATTTATTCTATGAATGCAGATAGTTTATCCAACATTTAGAAGTGACTAGTAACTACAGTTTTGCTACACAGTGCTGTTTTTCTTGAAGACTACATTTTACAAAACAGACATAAAAAACTTGTAAATAAAAAATAAACTAATTTTACTGTAATTATCCCTCTGAAAACCAGCCAGAGCATTGTAGGCTAAAGTTTGTTTGTTGTTTAAGGCCTTAACTGTCCTACCCCAAATTCAGACTTTGTGCTATTTCTATACAAGTTTGCAGTGAAGAATCATAGAAACAAGTAGAAGCTTTTTAGCCTATATGAGTTCAAAGACTGTAAAATGTCTCTCTAGTGTTTAACTATTAAAAATATATGAACTGAGTAGATTTTTTTTTTTTTTTTTTTTTTTTTTTTTTTTTAAATTTGTGGGTTTAACTGTCCTCTCACTTGTTTCCCTTAGGGAAGATCTTTGTCATTTAAGACCTTCCTCATCTGGGTTTTAATCAGTATTTACCAAGGTAGGAGAGAGTCCTAATTTTATGGAACTGAGAATTTTTTGTCTGCTATTAGCAATATTGTTTTTCACCTGCAGGTTGAATTCCCGAAGCTTAACATTTCATCAGCAGTTATATATATTGCTTTCTGTTTATCTCGTAAATCGATATTCCTGTAGTGTGCCAGGCCTGTTCAAAAGACGGCATGGATTGGTATTTTTATTGATGCATGTCACCTAAAAAAGGACATGTTTTTAATTAAATGCTAATCCAGAAAAATTTTAATGAGTGCTTATCACATTGCATATATTTACACAGTAGTTTTCTTTTCATGGCGTGACAGAAGTACTGTTGAAGAAATCTGAATTATGTAATCAGTTAAAAGTAATTACACTTTCAACAATATCTCATTTATTTGTAGCACTTGACAAAATGAGGCTAATTAACAGTTCATCAGATATATTGCACTAAAAGATGTTTAATTTTCTAATAGTTTTATTTCTTTACAGCATTATTTCGGTTGTTTTATTTCACAGGCACAAAGTACAGTAAATATCACTTCTTTTAGAAAGATCATTGTTGTTACCTTATAAAAAAAATTACTGGGGAAGTTTTCGTAACAAGCATCAAATGTTCGGTGTGCAGGTGTAAAAACTGGTACACTGACATTTCATTGCAGAGTGTATTATTAATTTGTATGCCTTTCCTAGGTGGTATTCTGATGTATGGAGCCCTGCTGCTTTTTGAATCTGAATTTGTACATGTCGTTGCCATTTCCTTCACTGCCCTAATCTTGACTGAGCTCTTGATGGTTGCACTGACCATACGAACGTGGCACTGGTTAATGGTGGTGGCTGAATTCCTCAGTCTTGGCTGCTATGTGGCCTCTCTTGCATTTCTAAATGAATACTTTGGTGAGTAATAGTAAAAGTATTATAGCAAAGAATTGTGCTTTGTATTTTTAATATTTTTTCTCAGTTTTTTAATTAAGAATAGGTGATGTTATGCTTTGAAATACAGCGTTCTCCGTAAGAAATATGACTGAGTTGAAATTAAGCTTGATTAATGTTGGGTTAAAATATTCTCTTATCCTTTTCTCCTAGGGTTTGACAATCTTTATCCCTGTTACTGTGATTTATCTAGATGATAAACTACTCAAACCACGCATGCTTTTCCCATCTTTGATCTGATTTTGAGGGTCACAGCTGCATACCTTAAATTGGCTTTGAGATTTGCACTATTGAAATGGATATAATTTTAAAAAATCAGGGTCCTTCAGTGCATTGGTGATTTATTTTTTATGCCAGACTGAGTGGACCTCATTATATCTAACCCACAAGCTTAAAAGAGCTGAAGTATTGCTAGAGAGTGAGGCAGATTAGGATAGATAGTTAATGTAAGAATCATTGTTTCATAATTATATTAAGCTTATATTAAGCTTGCTTTGCTTTAAATTGCAGTATGCCATACTGTATCTTAAGGTTCTGATTGTTTATAGTTCATAAAATGAAAGAACACATTTTAACTGCAAATCTTAGCAGTCAAGGATCTGAGCATCAAAATAATACCTGTTTTTAATATCAGATTATCCCTCAGGAAAATTAACTATCTCAGTCTTAGTGTGATTTACAAATGTAACTTTTACAGAAATATATGTAACAATTTTTATTATACCTCACAAGAAGTAGAATCCAGCTCCTTCTCTCTGTGTTTTCCAGGACCTGATGAGTAAGGAGTTGCCCTTCAATTGTCACTTCTCATAGCAGCATGAAATGTTATATGGTAGTTTCTAGGAGTCTCATAGTTCTGCTTTCACTCTCTCATGTCCCAAGTGTTCAACACTAGGGTAGTGTATTTACATTATATAATTATTTTTTTAATCAGTAAACGCTTCACTGCCTGTCCCAGGTGTTCTGTTACTTCAGGAGTCACATTTTAATGAAGAAAGAACCCTGCTGGGCTCGGTACTTCTATTGTACGCTATTTCAGGTTTGCCAGGGTACCTTTTTCTTTTCTCTGACACTGATGCACAGACTCTTTAATAGAGGCTATTGGGTTGATTCCTGAATCTTCACAGCTAGATTACAAATGAAAGGCACAAGCAAGAACAGATACAGGTACTGGCTCTTTAGTCCAAACTTCCAGAAACTCATAAAGCAGAACTTACTGCTTTACCTTCGTAAATTTTCAGTATTGGTGGCATCCAGTCCTTCTGTCCTTTGTAGTTGTTGTTCAGTGAGAAACACCTTTTGGTGATGTTCACAGATGTGTGACTTTGTTTCCTGCAAACTTTTCCATAAAGAGGAGTGCTTTACTATCTATCCTCATGTATTTGCTGGACAAGTCCAAGCCACTGAGTACATAAATGGTTGCATGGCTTCTTGCAACTTGGGGACTGTACTTCTGTATTTTTCATCTTTAAGGGTACTGAAAAGGCTGCAATTTCATGGGCTTTTGTAAAGATGTATTTTAATGTGTGTCGTTTGTCAGTTAATCCGAGAAAATGCATTTCAGTTAGTCTCACTTCTGCTTAATGCTTTACTCTTACCTAATCTGTCCCATTATAACTGGGAGGATGGAACCTTTTTTTATGCATGTAGTGTAGTATAAACCTAAGTGATGGTTTATAGTTCAAACTGTAGAACAACTTCCACGTATCAGGGAAAACAATTCAGTTCAATAGTGCCTGACTTCATCAGCAAATAAACTTTCTTTCAATGATGTTACTTAGATGCGTCATCTCCTTCCAAAGAAATTATATCGTAAGTGTGACAGGGCACTCAAATTACAAAGACAAAAATATTTGATACTGCTCCACAGCTCTGACTCATGGAAGTAAATCAGTTTTTGGGTTTCTGAGTTAATTGCACACAGTGGCCTTATTGGGCATGTCTCTGTGAGATGTTACATAGGCTTTTAGTATGTCTAACCAAGCTTAGGCTAAAACTGTATAACAAGTTTATATGATCTAATATAGAAAGTATTTTTAACGAGTAAAGTTGGAGCAGTAAAGCATTTCTTTACTGTGTTTTCTGAAGTGAATTTTCATTCACATTAAAACAGTTCTAATCAAGTTGTTTGTACAGTAAATTGTACCTTGAAGTCAAATGTAAGAAAACTGTCTGCCTACTTACAACCTTAAAACATGACCCAATATAAAATCTCTATGTTTTCAAAATGTTTTGGTTTAAATGCTGTTTAAAATATTCCGATTGTCATGTGAACAGCAGTAATATTCCAGTTAATGCTACTAACATTATTTTCATTTCCTTTTTGTGTGGCTAACTTGTTTGGTTGGAGTTTTTTTTCACATAACTTTCATATTTTCTGTAAATCTATCCTTTCATTTTCATTCTCCCTCTTTGTGAAACAGGTATAGGCAGAGTGTCTTTTGGAGCTTTCTTAGGTAGGTGAAGTTTAACTTTTCTTGCAGTTGTTTTTTTTTTTTAAGTCTTTAAAAATTCATTAGAGAGTAGTAAATTATTTAATATACACATTTGTGAATAATGGAAAGAAGCAAAAAAACCCAATTCTTCAGGTTACTTGGGTTCTGGGATCTTTCCATGGTAATTAAGTATGATCTGATCGTTGCAAACATGGTCAAAAAATTTCAGTAGCAGGTGTAGAGTGGCACCATTCTTGTTGATGTTTGTCGCAAAAAAATAGCATTTCAGTGTGGCTTGTGGCAATATCACTTACACTGTTTTCCCTTTAAATTTTGGGGCTCTAATTTAATCTCTAAGATTTTAAGAATCATTCAGTCTAGTTGTTGTGACTGTTTCAGAGAAAAATAATCTGAATGTGGAATAAAGGATCTAAAATGGTAGCAGAATTTCTGGTTGGGAACTTGTATTATAGTGGATAAAAATCATTCTTACTAGTAGAAAAATAAGCTGGTTTAACTTTTTATTATGAGAGAGTCTTGCTTTCAAACTAAGATTCTGTTTCCTCTAAAATTATTTTGTGCTGCAAAACAGTGTGAGGACCATAAAGGAACTCTGAAGTTCCTGTCTAAAGAAAATAGGTGGCAAAAACAAAATGTTGAGGTTAAATTTCACCTTCTGTTGTTTTGTTGCTGTTTGTTTGGGTGTTTTTAATTTTACGTGGTCTTGAACAATAGCATAAGCAAACTATTAAGAGAATTTTATTGACTTTGCACTATAGAAGTTCCAGTTTCCATGTTACCAGCTCCCATTACTTATTTTCTCTTTTTGTTTCTGCAGATGTTGCCTTTATCACAACTGTGACCTTCCTGTGGAAAGTGTCAGCAATCACTGTTGTAAGCTGTCTTCCACTTTACATTCTCAAGTACTTGAAGCGCAAATTTTCTCCTCCAAGTTACTCCAAGCTTACCTCGTAAAAGTAATTATATTCCTATAGTTTTTCACTCACACCAGTCTGCAAATTGCACATTCACTGTGCTTTAGTGTCTATGGATTTATGTTGGACTAAAGAAATTTACAAAAAAAAAATCAAAAGTGATAGAGTGAATAGAGCACAAAAAGAGGAGGAAACATCTGACAGGTACAATAACACAGAATTACACTAACAGGACTATCAGAGATAAACTAAATTTTCTTCATGTTGATTTTTTTACTTTCAGTTGCTATGATTATAAAATAAAACTGAATTAACTTTGATTTGACAATGCTTCTCAATGGTTTCATTGCTACTGTGAAGGATTTCTTTGCTACTGTAAGGATTTTTTTCCTACTGTACTAATCTTCTGCAAGTTGAATTGAAAGTTTTGTTATTTGTTACATAACTTCCATTCTTTAATTATTACATAACTTCCTAATTCAAGTGCTTTCCTTTAATGTTTATAGATGGAAAAGTTCATTCGTCCATACTTACTGTAACAAACCTAATACCTGTAAATGCCCGTGTCTGTATTAGCAGCTAACTATTATTCCTCATCAGACATTGAGTAATATGCACTATTTGAATTACGTACAGATGTCTGCATAGCACAGTATTAATTTAGGAGCTGTTGTCCTATTCTGTACTCTCCATTTCTGGCACCGGTAAATTACAGACCTGTGATGTTGACAGCAGTTCTTTAAATGCACATTACAGCCAGGTTGCACAAAAGCTGTTTAAAAATTAAATGATAAATTCTGTACATAATTCTGCTGCACCTGTTGATCTGTACAGATATCAAAGACATGGCTGCTCAGTAAATATGTTTTAAAATTCTTATTCATTTTGTATTTGTAAAACTGCAAATAGTGTCAAAGTACATTTCTATATATGAGAAGTCCAGTAAACCTTGTATTAGCTAATATGTTTCAGTTGCCTTGTAATCTGTTTACTTAGGTTACTCAGGTAAAAGAAAATAAGATGAACACATGAACATTATGGTAGGAAAATCTGTCATCTTCCAACTTGTAAATGTTATGTTTTTATAACTTGTTTGGGTGCAAACTTGTTTAAAAAAAAAAATCAAAATATTTTTGCTTGTTGTAAACTGTCAAAGTCGAGTATCTTGGCTGAGTTATGACAGTTTACAGTGGCTGAAGATTTGTTCCAGAAACTCATATACTCTGATACAATCTGAAGGGTCCAAATCTTGCATACTATACTGGAAAATAGGATATATTATTTTAGTTTTCCATTGTGATATAACTTTGCTTTTTCAAGAGGTACATGTAACGAATTTGGCAGAGTCTATTAATCGGTAGAAAGGAACAGCATAATTATCCATGGTTTATTTATTAAATATTTATGTGTGTGTTTCTAAAAAACACTTAATATGGATGTCATTTTTATGTTTGACTGTATGCCTTTACAACATAATTCCTTGTGTAGTCTCTTACAACTTCGCTCTTATGCCATTATTATATTGGATGAGTAATATTTAAGTGATAAATAGAACTGCTTCCTGGGAGAGCAGAGGAAACTGCTGCAGAGCTATTTGGACTCCACCCCACTCCATTAATTTTTGTTTTGGAAGTTTTTCTTACTAGCTATTTATCTACCTTTTTTTTTTTAATTTCCATTCCTCATTATAAAAGCAATAAAGCCTAATTTCTACCAAATATTATTAATGGTATATGTATTAAATAAACTACTGAAGTAGTGTTTCTTTTAATTACACACCATTGCAGACTAGTTTGCTCTGTCCCTCTGTAAACTCACTTCTGTAAAACTCCCACAAGATGTCACTGTTCTTGCATACTAGCAGAAGCCTTTTGTCATTGTACGTAGTTTTGGCAAGATACTCTCTGTTTATATTTTTAGTTTAGTCCTGTGATGTTTTTGTTGCTGATTTGCTTTAATTTTCGCTTTTTTCCCCCAATAAGTGGTAATTACTTTGAATCAATTAAGAAAAGTCACCAGTGTGCAGTTGTTCTGAAACGTTGATGTTTTCTTCAGACTTTTTTGTTTTATACATTGTGAGCTCGCAACCGTATGCATAAGTCAGTAGATAAGCAAAAGCTTAGAGTTGGTCATCCTTCATCTCTACATCACATCTTTGATATTAGGCAGAAAATGAGAAAAAATCAGAAATTAAACTAGCAGTATGAAAGTGATAGTGTTACTATAATACAGCTGTATGAGATACAATCATATCCACGTGTACAGAATTTATAGTATACGCATATTAATCCTCAGCATTAAAACTGTGAGGTTAGTGTGGTAGCAAATGTATAGATCCTACACACAGATATAAGCCTTTCAAAAGTGGAGTCGATTCTCTGGAGTGCCTGCTTTCTTAGAGTATTTTCAATATACAGCAAAGGTCTAGTTTCGCTAGCACTTTTTTTTGAAGACTGCGAAAGTCTGATTCAGATGACTTACCTTGCTTTTGAGGTTCAGTCACTTCAAAACTATGTATACGAGGAAAGTCTGCTTTCTGTTCATTCATGTCACTCGGCCACAGCCCTGTAAAGGGGTAGCGCTACCATATCACAGCAGTTTACAGGTAACAATATCAATACAGAATTTAAGTATTGTAATATGACATCTTTAAGTAGAAAGCTTTAATGTATTGTGGATTTCAGTACAAAATAAGCTAAGTACCATCACAGTCCGTGGCTTTTAAAACAGATTAGAATGGTAACGTGTCTGGTGTGCAGGTGAATAAATTATTTCATAAGAATTTCATTCTGTTGTCAATTCACATCAGTATATGTCAGGAATAAGTCTGGAACACCAGATCAGCTTACATAAACACAGATTTAGGCCTTGGATCTGCAGGTTACACCCGGAAGGACCTTAGTTTTATGTGGTATTAAATAAATGTTTACTTTTGTAAGCTGCTGTGTCAGATAGGTATTTCTTAAATGGTAATCATGTCTCTCTGAAAACATATTCGGAAAACAATTTCAGAATTGGGGTAGGATGGAGGAGCAAGATGTGAATGGGAAATACGTCTTCACCAAAGTAACATACGTAACAATACTGACCTATTTGGACCATGTTTAATAAGCATATGAGCTAAACATCTGCTAGATTTCCTATGTAGTTTGATGGAAGAATATAGGGAAAAGGAGACACCCTGCAAAAGAGGAGTACTGGTAATTATTATATTGGTTTCTTTCTGATGCTATTCTAAACTTATGTGTTCATGTAACTGCTGGAAAACATTTTATTACACAAGGTATTAGTTTGCAAATGGAAGCCAAAATTAAATCCTTGCATACTTAACATTAAATCTGTAGCACTCTTCCATGAATGTGAGTGTTTACAACAGTGTTTTTATGTTCAAACTGAGCTTGCTGACACATACCATCAGAATTCAGCTGTGTGGTATCTCCTGTTTTCTTCCTCAAATTTCTGAGCGGTTGTCCAAAAACATGCCATTGCTTTTGTGTGTACATAGAAACTGTGTATTATCTTGATGAGCAGCATCCACTTGAGCCAATCTGTGTTATAAATGTCCTCCTATCCTGTGTCCACAAGGCAGTGTGAGCCTAAACATTTTTTCAGTCTCCTTTTAAAACATGTCTGCAAGAGGGATCTCTGCAGTCGGGAACCATTTCAGACTGGACATGAGTTCTGCAGGTATTTAAGCAAGAGTTTTAATATTTGCATATGTGGTTAAACAGCTGTTAGTTGTGAGGGTCAATTTCTGTAGACAAAGAGGAGATGATTTCCCTAATTACTTAGGCCCATTTGTGCATGTTAGAGAGTAGGGCCAAGCAGTATAGTCTCCATACTCCTCTTATTGTTGTCTCAAGGCATTCAGGTTACTTTGAGAAAGAACCGGCCTCAGATCTTCTGCTGGTGAGCTGGGCTTTGCGTTCCGGGGATCATCCCCCGTCCCTACACTGATGTGCACCTCTGCCTTGCTCATACAGGGGTATGCTGGAGGGTGCCTTCATCACTGGACATTGGGGCTGTTCGTGCCTGATCCAGTTTTGTTTGCATATTTACCATGTGAATGATGGTGAATCAGGCATGGGGAGAGGCTTACTGTATAAAAGTATAGACTTCCTCAGGGGCTTTGGAGATACGCTGTTAACAAAGATACTCCAACGTGACCTCTTTTCCCACTTTTGCAGAGCTTTGTAGTCCTGGATTTTATATTGGCAAGATAACTTGAGAGAGGCATGCATCTGTTTCACGCTTGCATCCCTTCACATGTCCGAAGGTGTTAACGTGGTTCCAACAGCCCTTGCAGGGCAAAGGAGTTAGTGCGGAGTATGTGGAGTCTGAGTGGACAGTGCTCCTTAAAAAGCGATAGCCGCAGGAGGAGAGGTGGCTGTTCTGCTCTCGCTACTACTGCAGAAACTATTCTTGTAGGTCCTGCTTACTCTGACATCCATTTGAATTTCAGCTTCCGTGGAGTTTCTCCTTATTTTTGCTGGCTAGAAAGGAAAGAATGGGGCCATTGGTGTCTTACAACACTTCATTTAATAACCTTTCTGTATCTAGGCTGTTATTCTTATAACTCAATTGAAACTTGAAGGCAATCAAAAAAGCCCTTTGATATGTTAGCCCCCTGTGGGGAGGAAAATCAGTACGAGTGAACAAAGACAACACGGATTGAACATTATATGTAAACAAACAGGAGGCACAATATCTTTAACACTGCGTTAAAAAGCATAGGAATTCCTTTTGTAAACAAAACACACTTAAAGCGAGATACTTCCGAACAAGTATTACGTACCCAACAGATGCCCTCAGCAGGATTCACAGCTGTTATTGTGAGTAGGAATTTACTCAGCCAATTGCTAACAAAATCCTCGTCAAATAGGGAATTGCACTGAAAGACCTATTCACTACTTCATCAACCTAAACCAGAGTTTTGATCAACAGGTTTTACAGCAGAGGTTGTGAAAACCAGGTGCCTTGAACAGAATAATGAGAGAGGGCTCCACAGTTGAGTTGACAAATTCTACTTTATTCTCCCACTCCCCTGACCAGGTTTTAGCAAAATCTGCAGCTGAGATTTCTCCTTATTGTAGTCTCCTCCTGTACTCCAGCATGCTTTCAACTTGAGATTGTAACCGGCAATGGTAAACCTCTAAATTGCTCAAATAAAAAGTGGGTTTGAGGATTTTTACATTACTGAGCTATAAGAAAGATCGTCATCCGGTCTAAGAAGAGGAGATACTGTTTTCTATAACTATAATGCATGATAAATATTTATGGCCCTGCCTTTAAGTAAACTAAACTATGTTTGTTTCCTCTTGACAAAAGTATGAAAAGAACTTTGGTTATAATGTTCATGTAGCTTTAAGCAAGCAGTACACAAAATAAGAGTGTTGTAATTCTTATTTGTAGAACTGCTTTCCATTGTTTCTCTATAATGTATACATCTAGTTTTTTCCATGGGCCCTCTGTGTTTTGCTGTGTTTTGCTCCGAGTTCTAAGCATGAATTTGA